AATATTATTTTCACAAGTGTGGTGTGTTGTAGGACTGGGTATCGTCACTGATTTCTAGAATCGATTCGATTCCGATTCACAAGGTCCTGAATCGATTCGATCCACAATTCGATTCAATTCGATTCAATTCGATTCGATTCGATTCGATTCGATTGGATTTGAATCTGGGAAATTTTGCCTCAGTCAGAAATATTATAATTCAGATCAGTACATTTACATATTTTTGTATCTATAAAAGGAAAGCTGACATTTTCGAGACTTTATTAAAGGTGTGAGCATCACAGCAGATGTCTTTGTGTCAAAGTAGCTGAGGATAAAACACAAAAAAACGTGAAGGTGATTTTCCTGGCCTGGGATTTTATAAAAATCCGCCGAAACCCGCCTAAAGAAAGTGTTTGATGAGAAAGAGAAGAAGCTGCCTAGTTATCTAGAAATAAATTGTGGTGTAATATTGTATAACAAGCTCAGGTTATTCATGTCTAGTTATTTAAATCAATACCTATTATCCATAACCTACTCCTACATAATGTTTGTGTATTCAAAGTAAGCATCTGTGATACCACTTTTCTCTGATTTATACTGAACTATAAATTTCTTAAAGTACTTTAAAAAGAAGAAGAGAAAACATAATGAATATATACAAAATCCAATAAAGTTCCCATAAAAGTAATCACTGTCCAGAGAGTGAGCTGCCTTGGTGGAGGATTGCGCTTTCTGCTGCTTCTTGTTTTATTAATAAATTTGATTGAGTGCTGAGCGTCAGGAACCGCAGGCTTTGTGGGTGTGATTATGCACTCAGAGTGGTTAAAGAAAAACTTTCCCCTGGAGCCAGTCAGAGTATTCTTGTTCTAGGAAGTAAAAATGAATTCCATGTGGACATTTACAAAAAAGGAGATGGATGTAGCACCTATTTTCACAGAGCAGGTCAAACTGGTTCGGACTCTCTAGAGACTAAAATGGTACCTACAAAACCCACAGAGTCAACAGAAAGGAAAAATCTTTTAGGGCCAGCTAAAAATAAAGAGTTACGTCTGAAACTGGCTACCCGGTGGAGCCAGTTATCTCCAACAACCGGACAATGGCCCCAAATACAGCTCCAAACTGTGGGACGACAATTCGAGAGGAAGCAGTCAGCTCATTATGAAGTGCCCAGCGTGGTCACCGGACCTCAAACCTATTAAGCTGTTGTGGGAATAGTTTGACTGCACGGTATGCAAGAAATGGCAATGAAACCAATATCTGCAAAGCTACAGCTGCTGCAAATAGACGACTGATTGATTAAAATGGAAGTTTGATGGAGAGCGAGAGTTTATGGGAGATAAAGTATCGAAATTTCAGGAGCGGGACCACGCCTCCAAACACGCTCCTTCTGCTTCTTATCTATATATGCTCCCCCAGTTCTACAAGCTGTTCATTCTCACTTACGTGCCCCTCCTTCCCTCCCCTTTTTAAGTCTTTAATTTCTTCTCTTGCATTTAGTACACTGGGATCTGCTAGGCCTAGGAGCTGCCACAAGTCCTCTTCGAGGCCTTCTCCAAACCGCGGCTCAATTCACATCCAAGCCATTCACCTTTATCTACTAAAACACTGTCAAACCTAAAATGAGAACACGCTCCCAGCTAGTGAAAAAACAATATGATGATGATGTTACCAAACTTTTACAGTAAACGTGAAGGCCTGTGAGATGGCCGAGAGAGGAGCAATAACAAAGCAACAAAGATCTGCAACAATACTTTATATTCAGAGGTTGGTTTTTTTTTTACTATTTATTATTTTCCTATCTTGATTAAGATAAGATAACTTCTCAGGTGCTGGTTCTGGTTTAGTGACACTTATCTGACTGAGGTGTTTGATAAATGGAGCGCGTGGCACATGTGCAGCTCATCCACCTCAAAAATGGACAATATTACACCAGCTGCTGCCATGCTTATATTACCTGAAACAAAGGATAGGGCACTGGGGTCGCCTCTGGCACATCCAGCACTGTGTTCTCAAAGGGGCCCTTCTTCTCCTCCAGATCCTTCCCACCAGCCTATTACAGCGCAGAAATAAAGGTTAAAGGTCATCGAGTACAGAAAAGGGCAAGAAAAAATGAAAACCTCTCACACTCATACCTAAATTTGCCATTTTAGCTTTAGCTCCGGTGAAATCAGTCAAGCATTGAGGGCAGTATTTACAGCCCAGTTATTTATTGAACCAAAATGACTTAACAGTGGAGGAACTTTTATATTCAACTACATGATGGGAGAGCAAAGTCTACAGACAAAGGGCCCACGCTCCGTTTAGCAACCCTTTCTGTGAGTGTTTTAAAATGAGTCACTGAGGGCTGTTTCACAGACTCTTCATTAACCTTGCTGATAGTTGTAAGTGTTTTCTTTCATGCGCTCCCTGTGTAGCATTAATCGACGCTGACTATTTCACAGATCTTTTAACAGGTTCATGCATTTGAATATGTATTGAAGAACAGCAGCAGCAGTTGGCCGGCGCTCGTGTACTCACAATGCTGAGCAGCAGCGGGAGCAACAACAGATGCACCATGGGTGTCATTATCACAGCCTGAGAAGGAAGAGGAAGACGAGGAGGAGGGTTAGAAAAAAATGTTTAAGGAGGTTTCAGAGGTTGTGTCATTTTTGTGGAAAATATTCACTGTGCTCTACTGTTGCGGAAACACTAAAAAACCCATGTAGTGGATTATTACCAATTCCACAGAGGAATCTTTAAACCCTCTCAACCCTTTTCTCCGTTCAGTGCAGTGTGTCATTGATGTGTAATGTCCACAGTGTCACAAAGAAAGCGTGTCCTCTGTCCTTGAATCTGCACGTGTGCACTGTATCTCTCTTTGTGCATACTTTGTGCTGAAGTGCTTACACATGGGACTCCACCTACACCTTCCAGGTTAACCACCCACCCGAGTGCACAGAAGAAAATGAAAGTCGATGCCTTTTAAAGCAGCGTCAGGTGTTCGTGTCCGAGTCTTTCTCTTTCTGTAAAGTGGGTGTACACATATGTATATATGTATATAACACCAAACCAGTGCAATGACTTTACGGCTGTCTCCTCAGACGCTTGAATAAACATAACTTCAATGAATCTGTAGCTTTTCCTGCATTTTGCATTTAAAGCAACCGTTTCCCCTGAAAAAAAAGTACTACACAGAATGCACTGAATGCAGAAGCATCCAAGTTATAAGGCCAGAGTAATGCTTGTTTACTAAAGAAATAATGTGACAGTCGCTACTGACAATTAAAGAAAAATCACACTTTTAATTCTTTTAAGTTGGTAAATAAGATATGTAGAGATTCTGGAGCTGTAAAGTTCAAGCGAAACAGAAGGGTAAAGTCAAAGGGTTGAGTGAAGGTGACATTGAGTCGAGCCAAATGACCTTTTTGTGCCAAAGGACACTTTTGAAGTCACCCCATTGTCTGAACACCTTATTTATCTGCAGGTTTTCTGCATTTTATAAGAATATCTGTCTCCATGTTGTTAACTAACATCTGCTGCGAAGCAGACCTTTAACTGGCAAGTCCCTCAGCAGTGTCACTAGTTTCTAAACGTCCACCTACAGCGACTTAACTGGTATGCAGAGGAGAAACTAACAGACGTTTGACACTTGATTAAATTGAAGCTGGGATAAATACACAAACATGGATCCAAAGCTACAGGCCCCTCTCGCTTTATCCTCTTAGATCAATGACTGGATGACCTTTGTCTGGCTATATTCAGCTGCTATGATACCAAATTTAAAGTCCCGTTCACTTACCTTCCTCCTATTCTAAAATGCCGAGAACAACCCAGGAAGAAGGAGAGCAGTAAGGCAGTAAAATATGCCAACACCTTATCTAAGGCCCTGCCAAAGTCAAGTCAAGATCATGGCCCTTCAGCGATAATCTGAGAACATTTTAAACCCGTCATCGCACAATCTATAAAAACCAACACAAGCAGTCCTGTTTGTTTCTGGCGACACACCCGAAAAATAATTCTCCAAATTCTCCTGAAACAAACCTGAAACTTGGGAGACAAGAGAGCGAGGTGGCTTACCTTAGAGGAGAGAGCAACTGAGACACTCGTCAGACTGATCTCAGCAGCTCCATCCTGTCCTGGTCAAACGTTAACCAGCCACTAACCAGCAATGTTTTATTGGATCTAATGATTGTCTAATCACCCTGCCCTTCTGCCAAGCTGGCCAATGGGAAAGAAGCAGACAAAAGCAACAAAGACTGGAAGAAAAGAACAATTATAAATAAAGAATTCAATAAAACACCTGTCTATTAAAGTAAGATGGGGGTTTTATTGAAACACTCAACTGCTTGTGGATTTGTAGAGTACTGATTAGTGTTTGTAAAACAACAAACTCTTTAAAGGGAACGTCTCAGCAAAGCATTTGTGAATTTTAGCCGGCATGTGCGTGAATTCTGGACAAAAATAGAACAAGAAGCGGGGAAAACGAGGGGGGGAAATTTGTGTAATCGTTCTCATTTCTTCGCTGCTCATTGTTTAAGTTTCTGATTACCTCTTAGACTTTGACCTATGCACCATTGCTGTGCTTCCTGGCAGATTTTCCATCAGCAGCAGCACCTGATAAGGAGCTATGCGTAGACAATAGGACCGACTCGCTGATTGCACTGACAATCCACTGCCTCATGGGAATGCAAAGCTTTGAGGTCAATTCAGGAGGTCAAGACGCACATGAAACTGTAAAAACAGGAAAAAGAAGGTGTGTCTTAAAGGCTTCATCTTTATGACCCAACCTCACACGTATCAGCTGGAATTATCTGTTATATGACCTGATGCATAAAGTCATCCTGAGCTGAGAGGTTTACAAGCTGTGGAGAGCTGCTTGGACACACAAACCACAAAACTGTGTGACTGTAGGAAAACAGGCTGCGAGTGAGTCACTGTTTCACAGGCCTCGCTATTTAACCAGAACCTATGACTGGAGAGTCGATGGTTCAGCGGATGAAGCTGGAAGTGACTCTGTTATGTAAAGCGTGGCTCTGTATGTGCACACAGCCCGGTATTGCGGCCAACACCATCTGCCCGACGCTCTCTGAACCAAACACACTTCCTCTGAATGTTACCTTGGCAACACATTTTTCTGCATTTGACCGTTTTCCCAACAACACCAAGCTTGAGAGCTTGTCCGGTGCCACACTGGGAGCCAAATCACCGTACCCAATCAGACGCGCAGGGGACTAATGTTGCTGAAGTAAGTTCAGGTTTAATGTCACCACCTGACTCATCCTGCATCAGCGCAGTGTTGCTGCGAGACCCTATTTGTCCAAGTGTGTCTCCTTTGTGTCAAAGCTGAGTCACCCATTATCATTTCTCATCAGTGATGTGGAGATGGCAGACAAAAGAGTGTTATTTTTTTCCCTTCCAAAAGCTGTTATGTCACTTTATTTCATCAAGCAACACTTAAAACAAAAAAAAAGATACATTATCAATGTGGTTTTATGTACAACAAGTGCAAAATACGACACGTATAAATAAAGTAACTGTCAAAAGATCATCGTACACATAATCAAAGACATTAACTGCACAAAGTAGCTTACAAATCATAGCACTTTGGGATCAACAGTCAAAATTTGGCAAAAAATCGGAGCAAACTGATCAGGAAAAAAGAGAAGAAAGGAGAGAAAAGGCTGTTAAAATGCGTTTGTTCAAAACACAAACAACAAAATAAATAAATAAATAACTTCCTTTTCTCAGTTTCCATCAGCTGGTCTCTAATCTTAGACATTTCTGTCACACAGACACGAGGCCTCTAACAAAGTTCATTTCAAAGGCAGACAATCTAAGCCGAGTCCTCTCAGTCTGTGCTGGATTGCAACGCGTTCCTAACACCGTCCCGGCTGTTTGGAGGGTGGATGTGAACACCGTGAAGGCTGCGTGCGAACCATCCAACTTTGTAGCCACCTCAGATGTAGGCTTATCCTCCACCTAGTAACTTGTTCTCCTGCTCAAAGGTGTGATGTAGATCTGGCTTCACCCATCAGGCTCCTACAGCACAGAGAGATCATGGCAGGACTTGGATTTCAGCCAGAACGCCACGCTGGGGTTGTTCTTTGCCACCACTTTGTCAAGGAAACGTTTGGCTTTCATAGGGATGCTCTCTCGGCGGGTAGTGCAGCTTCTGTGCCTGCGGCGTTTGTTGGCTTCTTTGGAGTCCCGTCGTAGACGTAGCTGTCGCACTATGCCGCGGAAAGCCTCCCAGACGTTGTGCTGCATGGCGGCCGAAGTCTCGATGAACTTGCAGTCGAACACAGCGGCACAAGCGCGACCCTCTGAAACAGGGAGGAGACAGTTTCAGGCACTTGATCATCTTATCAAAAGAAGAGAAGCATAAACAGACTCAGATTAGGCCTCCTTACCACTCACTGACACCTCTCTGCGTCGCACCAGGTCACACTTGTTCCCCACAAGGATAATCGGTGTGTTCTGGGCAGGGCGGAAGCGACGCAGGGTTATCCGGAGCTCAGATGCTCTCAGGTATGAGGCCCGGTCAGTTATAGAGTACAGCAACAGGTAGGCATCCCCAGTCTGCATGTACCGCTCGTACATACATTCACTGTCAGTCTGCAAAGCACACACAGGGCTTAGTATGCTCACACACAGGCAGGTGAAGTCTCTTCTTTGATTCATTTTGTAAAAAAACTCACCTCTGAATCCCAGGTGTCAATCAGAGTTATAGAGGCAGGCTCTCCATCCACTTCAATTTCCTTTTCAGTCACTTCATCTGAATTTAAACAGGAATCAAACACTTAGATCTGAGTTAAATCAGCAAAACGTGAAACAGCATTATTATTAGAATAACTGCAGCGCTAAGGTTTTATTATAGAATAAGATTTATTAATCCCATAGCAGGGAAATTTACATTGTTATTGTAAATTTACATTGTTATAGCAGGGCAGCTAACGCAAAAATAGGAGACAAATATACACTATACAAAGTAGAATAAATACAATTTATTTCTTCTACTTTATGATTTCTATTACTATGTTATTTTATATATATTCATATAACAATATACACACGAGTATTACAGGAAGAATAGAAGTGTAACTTTCTCGGGCACTTTAATAAGGTCTTTCTCTCACCTCCACAGAGCTCGCAGTCGTCGCTGTCCATGCTGTCCGCTGCACCGGCGAAGATGCTGGCGAAAGCCGTCTTACCGACCCCGCTGGCCCCCAGCAGCACCACCCGATACGGTCTCCCGGGCTCCGCGGAGTGCTCCCCGGCGGAGTCGGTGGAGATGACTGAGTCCGAGGAGGACCAGCTCCCTCTGCTCCCGTCCGACTCCCCGGCGGAGCTGGCGCAGGATTTGGAGCGAGAGATGCAGGCGGGGACCCTCGCCAGGAGGCTGTCCGAGAGCGGGTGGCTGCCCGCGTCGCAGATGCTCCACCGGTGGAGCTCGTTCTGCAGGCGGAGGCTGTGACGGCGCACACTGGACAGCATGGTGCCGGCGGCAAAATCGGGATGGACTGGATTATACACAGCGGTGGGATTAAACCTCTTCCAGCACAGAAACAAACAGCCTTCTTACTTCTTAAAAGACACTTCAGAAGCTTTTTATCCTTCTCAGGTGAACCAGAAGCGTCTCGTTTCTCTGGGATTAAAGGTGACTAAACTTAGTCTCAGATAATCAGAAGTTCCCCCCTGTTGGTTCTACTGCATTAACTCAGGCCCAAGACCTTAATATGCTGCTTAAACCTGTTTCTGCGGAACACCGATTTCAAAGTTTAATTCGTGCATTTCCAAAAATACAAATAAAACACACTTTCTGGATAAATCCCGGAGCGAAATTTACAGCTTCTGCCTTCTTGATGTGCCTGCAGCCTCATCCCTCGGTAATCTCCAGCTGAGTGAAGTCTCTTAATGCCCTGATGGGGGTTCCCTGCAGTTTATATAGACGGATGGGGGCGGGGGGAGGTCACACAAGTAGAGCATGGGAGAGTGGATGCAAAGCCGTGATGTGCTGGGTACTCACTGTTTTGGTTCATGCGCACGGTGTGCGGCAGCTCAGATGATATTAAAATGACTGTGCGGCAGTGACATACGGTTCAGCACCACCGCATTACACGTGTGCAGAGCCTGTAACACTGATATGCTCCTATAGAGACGCCTCACTGCTGAAATTTATTTTATAGGATTCAACCAAAGGTTTGTGACACGTTCCCAATTCGTATTAGAAAGTTTATAAATCCAGGATCAATCTGCTTCTGATTACTGTCACAGTTACACTCACTGGCCACTTTGTTAGGGACACCTATTCAACTGCACATAATGCAAATATCAGCCAGTCACATGACAGAAACTCAATACATTTAGGCGCAATACTGAGCATCAGAATGCGGAAGAAAGGTGTTTAAGTGACTTCAAATGTGGCATGGCTGTTAGTGCCACACAGGCTGGTCTGAGTATTTCAGAAACTGCTGATCTGCTATCTGTAAGGTATCTCTAAGGTTTACAGAGAAGGATCTGAAAAAGGAAATATCTAATGAGCCACACTTCTCCAGGGGAAAATGCCTTGTTGATGTTAGAGGAGAATGGCCAGGCTGCTTTGAGCTGATAGGAAAGCAACGGTAACTCAAATAACCGCTCGCTACCGCCAAGATTTACAGAAGAGCATCCCTGAACACATCAAACCTTTAAGCAGATGGACTACGGGAGCAGAAGACCACTCTGGGTTCCACTATGCTGAGCTAACAGTAAGAAGCTAAGGCTTGGGATTGCCAAAACTGGACAAGAGAAGATTAGAAAAACTTAGGCTGGTCTGATGAGTCTCAATTTCCTCAGCAACATTCAGAAGGTAGGGTTAGAACTCGGTATATATCACGAAAGCATGGATCCATCGAGCCTGGTAACAAAGAGAGGAAAAGAGCAACCGCTTTCACTTTGCACCATTTCTTGGAAAATTTGGAAATTCAGAGTTTATAAAAAATAAAACCTTTTGTTCCTAGAGTTTCTGAATAAACTTGTTAGTATATTAGGATCCATATGTCTGTGAAGGTTCTCAGTCATCTAGGTCATCATAGTGTAAGGAGCTTGGAAAGAAAAGCGTCTGGACTTCTTTAAGTTGCTTGAAGACGTTTCACCTCATGTGAGAAGCTTCTTCAGTTCTGAAGGATTCATAGGTTTAGATCAATACAGTAACTGAATTATTGAAAAATGTAAAACAATCAGTAGCGTATGTATGTTCCCAACTAAAATGGCTTTTTAAAAAAAATTTAATACCATCACAAGCAGAATTAAAACCAGCTACAATAAAAACAACAATATCTAGACTTCAGTGGTAACATAAACATAAAACAATCAAAATGACTATTTGGATGCTCAAGTTTTATAATGTTGTGTCCATCATATGACCAAAAAAGTGTCTGCTGTGAAAAACATCTTTTATACAAATGCCTGGTGGTGAAATCACTTGTGATCATTCTCTCTTGTGAACCTCCAGCTTTTTCTTTTTGTGAAATCTGTAATTTGTGAGATGAAGGTCAGAAAAAAAAAGATTACATAAGTTTTAATCAATAGTTTTATTATCTTTAATGTTTGGAATCTAAACAATGTAAATTTATCTGCACTTCATTAAGAGAAACTGGTGAAGGGCTGCAGATGAAAACAAGCTTTTACCAATACATTTTTCTGTTCAAATAAATAAATAAATGCATGCAGTGCATTCAGGTGTAGCTTATATAAATATGGGAGCACTGTGTAAGCCCATGCATGCAGGTCACGGTTGTAAGCATAATAAAAACTCTCATGAATAGAGCGTATCCAAACTGCTTTGGTCTGATCGAACGTCCTTGAGGATAACAGATGGAGGGAGACAGCGCGATGAAGAGCTCGGTCCTTCATACTGTAAATATGCTGTTCAGTGCGACTCGTTCAGACATTCTGTTTTGTTTTCTTACCCTGCAGACAGCATACTGTAAAGCCGACATGTTAACAGCAACCGGTTCACATAAAAGGTTTTTCTCTGTACACAATATTTGCCGCAATGTTCAGAAGCAAGTGGGAACAACCACTAGTATTGTTCTTTCCACCTACACTTTTACCATCTGAAAGCAACAGGCGTGTGTCAAGAACACAAAAAGCCTTCAGTACTATGGTAATATTATGCCAACAGAGCACGTCGCTCTCAGACTGCCAGCTTACTTGTGGTTCCTAGAGTATTTAAAAGTAGAACGGGAGGCAGAGGCTTGGGCCCAGTTTGGATTTGGGAGACGGACACCCTCTCTACTTTTAAGATTCCCTTTTGATAAAGCATATAGTTATGACTGGATCAGGTGACCCTGAATCCTCCATTAGTTATGCCTAGACTGCTGGGGGCTTCCCTTGATGCGCTGTTTCTTCTTCACTTTCTTTTTTTCACTCACTGTGCTTATAGTGATTATTATTCATCTCTGGCTTTTGCCCGTGCGCCTTTGTCCCGTATTCCTCCCCTCACTCTCAACCGGTGGCGGCACATGGCCGCCCCTCCCTGAGCCTGGTTCAGTTATAGGTTTCTTCCTGTTAAAAGGGAGTTTTTCCTTTCCACTGTTGCAGAGTTGTTGCTCATAGGGGATCTTCTGACATGTGGGATATTCTTGAACTGAATTAAACTGAACCAGAGCTGCAGCTATTAGTAATTAATTGAATAAAAAGTAAAATAATGATAAAAAAAATTATCTTTAGTGTTAACTTTTGCCACTTTCTTTTGTCCAACATGACTGTAAAGAGAGATCCCCTTTTATAGAATACAGTAACAGGTTAACTGATAACAAAAACAACAGTCTTTAACTGCGAGCACAAAATGAAGGTGAATCTGCATTGTGTCTGCTCAACTCTGCTCTAAACTATAACAGATGCTGGCTTATTTTTTATATGGACGAGTCAGTAATTACCATTATTCATGTATCAGCGTTGAGAAAGTTCTTTGAGCATAAATGAGCCACACCTCTGCTGCTGCCTGGCCAACCTGGCAGATGATTAACAGACATATCATCATGGAACAAACAAAGGGAGCGCGATTTATTCCCAAATCCTAGTTTTTCCCCAATACAGACCTTTAACATGGCATAAAGCTGCTAATAAATATCAAACATTGAGAAGTAGCATTTAATGGGTTTATTTTAATTTACTAAACTTCCTGGTTAGGTTAATCACATATCAAAAGCTGTACAATATTTCAAAAAATATTTAACTAATTATTAATTCACTACGTTTTATCAGCACATGCAAGACAAAAACAGAGATTTGTTCCATCTAATTAGCACTAATACTACAGTGAATGAGGCTGCACCAGACGCTGAACAAGCTTTGAAGGAAAAGGAGTGGCTGCACCTGATAACGGAGTTTTATATCACAGAATCAACACACCCTGGCTACATAGATTTATTAGCTGCAATTCAGCAGTCGCTGGGTTAAGAAACTGATAACTATCATGTCAAACACCCTCATTATCATCGTATGGTGATATTTTCTGTTTTCTGTCAGAGAATCCTCTTTCTGCCAGAAATGTCTAAATAAAAGCTGCCCTGAGATCAGCTGGCAGCAGCATACTGCCAACGGATTGTAAAAAGTAGTATTTTATGAATGACCTCTCTAACAACATATGCAAATGTCCAGAGAGACTGCATTCAACTTGTAAACTGCATTCAACTCGCAAACATGAGATTCTCATTAGGAAAAGCACTTTTTGAGTGAGGGATTGAGCGACTGAGGGTTATTACAGTAATTGTCGGATTATGCAGCCCACCCCCGACTGTTGTTTTTCCAGACTTTCGGGACTGACGGGCTGCGCTCTCATCTGCGGGACCTGCTGCTCTGCATTATAGCTCTGATCTGCTTGACAGATGACTGGGAAACATTAAATCCTTGTTAAGTGCTGGAGCAGGCCCAGGGTCAGGAGGAGGGGATTGAGGGAAGGGTTACACTTTGGCTGGCTGCAGATTGGCAGGGTGATGTTGATGGCGAGAGAGTGAGAAGTGACCTATTTTTTTTTTCCTATCGCCCAATACAAAACAGATTTTGATGAAGGTGCTGCTCATACACGGAAGCTGCCCAGTTCAACCCCGGCTTAATCCCAGTCTGATCTGATGGTTCATTTTGGTGTAAAACGTGATGCAGCAGACAATTTAAAGACAAATACTACACTTGGGGAGAATGTCTCTTGGAGGAAGTATAGTAATGATAGTTGGTCATGTACCTGAAATTAGAAGATGGACGTGCACCTTAAAATAAGGAGCAGCCTGGAAAACTGGGAGATTCAGTCAAAGTTGAAATGAAATGTAAATGCTGGTGGAGGCTGAGGAGAAACCAGTTGCGCATAAAAGACCAGGAAACAGTTTTAGCTTTAATATTTGCTTTTGGGAATTTACACTGAAGTTGAATTGAGTTTTTGTTGTTGTCTAGATGTGTCAACTGGTTTTAATCTGACAATATTATTAACCTGTACAAGTCAGGCGGCATGTACTGCATTTACTGTTTGTCAATCTGTGATGTTATGTGTGTGAAATCGTTCCTCGGCACAATAATTGTCATCAAAACACCTACGCCATCTCATTTGTACTGACTTCCAATATGATTACAGTGAATACTTTTATTATATATTATGTTCTATAATTAATTCAGACCTCATAATTGCATCAAGAAGAAAAAATAAAAGCTTAACACCGTGACTCAAAAGCAGCTTGGGGCACCTGGGGAACAGGAGATAGAAGGGATGCATAAATGTGCCAAAATATCTGTTTCTTCTGCTTCTCCACTTCAGGCTCAAGGGGAGGATGGAGTCCATCCCAGCTGTAACAGGGCGAGAAGCGGGGAAGACTCTGGGACAGTTCGACCTTCAGTTGGAGGACTAATACACATAAACACAGACAATTCACGCTCACATTTATACCTGCAGTTAATTCACCAATTAATTAACCTTATCTGATTTATGTCTTTGTACTGCGAGGGGAAGACAGAGTACCTGGAGAAAACCCACACAGGCCTGGAGAGAACATGCAAACTCTCCACACAAAAGACCCGCCTTGGATTCGAACCCAACCCCTTCCTGGAGCAACATTTCCCAAACCTCATGCTACCCACAAAAGTGTTGTGATGTAGACAAAGAATATTATCTTCAGGTTTGAGGGATAATCACATCTGTGTGTAAGCTGTTAAGTAGCGAGATAAAGAGAAACCAGATGGAGGCGCACAATCTTAAATATGTGGATCTCAAGCTTTATGCATTTTATAAACCAATTTAACATTAACTGGCTTTTCTGCTTATGCAGTTGCTGCAAGAATACATATTTAAACTTTAAAAGGACTAACACAAAAAATTGTCTGTGATTTAAATCTAAAGACATTAGTTTAAAGATTTTAAACTAATATTTTCTATATTTTATGCCTTTTATTTCTAATCCTGTAAAGTTATACAGAGAACAGTACAGGAACAATAACAAAAGAAGCACCACAGAAAATCAGAGAATAAGTAGGTTGATCAATATTGTCCATTGGATTGGATTCCAGCTAACTGATGGTGAACATTTGTTTCAGAAGGGCAGTCTGCTTTTCAACAATGTAAGCTGTTAATTCTTTGCTAGGTAGCAACCACATAAATCTGCTCAAGCTCAAGTGCATCCACAGAGGAGCCACCAAGCATCGAGTTCACATCCTGAATCCTAAATAAGAAGCACAGATGGCATCTAGTGTCCATGCTGATGCACAAGCGTCTGAATATTTCTGAAACATTTATCCAGCTTTGACGTCAGAGACACCTTGACTATTAATGAATGAAATATGGGAAATGCAACCTCAGTGGGGGTTACATCAGAGGTTTGGCTATCCAGCTGTGACAGTGTAGTTAGATCTTCCACTCAGGTCCTGGGATCACAAGGACTAAGTGCCCAATCTGTCTTCATCAAAACC